GCAGTTAAACTCTTGATCCCACAATCATGTTGGATTAAACAACTAACCACACAACAGCACCCTAAACAATTTCGACATGACCCCCGTCCAAGCAACTGATGTCAAAATAAATACTTGCGACTCTATAGTGACTTATTCCGACTCTTCCTAGTCAGTCGCGCAGGCGCCTCCACAAGACCAAACCGATGATCCGCCCTGGGGCTCCCGGTCGATCGGTGTCGGTCGGTCCCGGATCGACCGAGTAGTTCGGCGGACGGGTAGGAAGGCCGGGTGTTTCTCGGAGTGACTTCGGTGTGGTTTCTTCTCATGAACACGAGTTCAAGTCTGCTGATTTCTTTTTGTTGCCACTCTGATTTAGATCATCTTTAGATCATCAAGTATGATAGGACCATAGGGGAAAACACTCCATCTGTGGAGAACCTGTGGCGCCTGAGCCAGTAGACTCAAAACATTGCCATGATGTTAAAATCCACCAACCTTGCGCCATCTGACTCTCCCAGGAATGAACCAGTCAGGATCGATGAACCACTCAGCAGACTGCCTGCCCAAATCTGTCAAGTCTTCGGAGGGCCTCAGGCCTGAGCGATCGCAGGTGACCACAATGGTGACCGCAGCTATCTTGCACTCAAGCTAGGGCGGTTCAAAAGCCACTTACCTCCTTGAACCCCCCCGAATATCCCTGAATCATTTCATTATGCATATTTCAACAAGGGGAAGGCTTCTGACCCCCGGCCCCAGCATGATCTGCCTTCTTCCCCGTGAATCGATGGCTCCGGAAGACTCATGTGCGATTCTTCCCCCAAACGAAATGCATCATGAGCGAGATAGCCCGAGCAAAAACGGTTATTGAGGTCGTTTCAGTTTCGCAAGAGAGTGAACAAAAATGAAAAGTCAGGAGTCAACAAGGCAGCAGCTTCAGAATCTTACTTAGCACATCCTTGCTGTGTCAAGACATTTCAAGTCGATCCATGGGATCGTGAAGCACCTCAGTTGCGCTCCAAGGGAGCCAACTCTCAAAGAATAGTTAGTATCGATGGCCCAACCTAATAGCGATGACCTCCACCCTACCAGCAATGGCCTCCACCCTACTAGCAATGGCCTCCACTACATACTAGCAATGGCCTCCACTGCCTCCACCCTACTAGCATTGGCCTCAACCCCACTAGCAATGACCTCCACTACATACTAGCAATGGCCTCCACTGCCTCCACCCTACTACTAGCATTGGCCTCCACCCCACTAGCAATGGCCTCCACTACATACTAGCAATGGCCTCCACTGCCTCCACCCTACTAGCATTGGCATCCACCCCACTAGCAATGGCCTCCACTACATACTAGCAATGGCCTCCACTGCCTCCACCCTACTAGCATTGGCATCCACCCCACTAGCAATGGCCTCCACTACATACTAGCATTGGCCTCCACTGCCTCCACCCTACTAGCAGCTAGCATTGGCATCCACCCCACTAGCAATGGCCTCCACTACATACTAGCAATGGCCTCCACTGCCTCCACCCTACTAGCATTGGCATCCACCCCACTAGCAATGGCCTAGTTATATAGTAGCGAATTAATGTGGCTGTATCTTGTGCGGGAAACTGCGCTAAACATCGCTAAACACTCCCCCGCGACCGCTTCGCTCAGCGGGTGACGGGAGCCGCTCCTCTGGCGCCCTGGAGGGTCTCTCGGTGGGGTCGGTGGGTCCGTGGGGGTGGTTGGTTTCTGTGGCCGGGAAGTCTTTGGTAGCCGCTTTGCTTGAGGACAAGCTACATTGAATGCATATATGTGCAATGAATCCTCTATAGTCCTCTTCTCCACCCAAAGGTCTCAAGTTATCGCGAGGCAGCTCTAATTCCGACGACCCAGTTTGAGTACTTTGAAGCCCTTGGTCACCAGTGTTGTTGTCTGACAAGGGGCAATCCTAGTTAAAGTCCTCCGACAAAAATCAAGGTGTCTAATTTACCTTTGATTCCACATGAGTTCAAAACACACACGCATAAAAACAAAAAAACATGTTCTTGTTTGCCATATGAGTGTGAGTGTTGCTTCTTCTTGGGATAGAGTGGACAAGAATTGCACAGAAAAACAAACTGTGATCCCCGATAATAAACAAACCTCATTTAATTTGTGGTTCTGCTTTGTTCATGTTCTTCGTGAGTCACAAATCACACAGACAAAGACCTGTAAACCCGGTCTACCCACTTCGCCCCCAGTCTACTCAAAAGCACGAAAGGGCTCCAGCACAGTGCCTCAAGAAGTACCTTGGTTGGAACAATGGGCCCCTTCAAACGCCCTCCCTTCTTCTTGAAACGTAAGGCAGGTGCCCTTCTACCACGTTAGGTTGGTTGATTGATTGGCATGAAATGACCAACGAGTGGGCCGACGGACTCCAATGAGGCTGATCACATCCAACGAGGCTGGATCTCCTGATCTGTGGCATGTGCTCTAGTTCCGAGCGAAAAAGATCTGATATTTCAGGTCACCCAAACAGCAATGGTTTCAACTACATGTTTATAATATAGAAGAATTTCACAGTTCTAATCAGTTCTACCTTTCGTTGACGCCGCCTGTGAGATTTGCCTCAGCTCATCCATGGGGTTCCTCCGGGTTCCTCTCCTCCCCTCTAAGCTCTGGACCAACTTGAGATGCCGAGTCCAAGAGAGCACGTAATGGCCAAAGCACAGGAGATCGACGCCTGGCGCGCTCCGCAGCAAAGCCTAACAAAGCCTAGCATACTTCGACCCTCCAAGAAAAGAATCAACGACACGGGTGTGTTCTGGTGTTTTGAAACTAGGCCGTGATGCGAATGTTGTTTGAATTTTTGTGTTCTGTCCATATTCAAGAAATAATTCCAGGATCTTTAGGTTCAGGTATCTGTCAATCGAGCCAATATGAATACCCCTCGATTTCAACTTGTTTTCGAGTGCTCTTTCCTTGAAGTTCAAACATGAATGTTGGGACTGAAAAGATCGGAAAAGTCATGGACTCGTCATGGACTGGGGCTCGTAGCCAAAGAGCTTTGGGATGACTGGGGTGTCATCTAGTCGACTTGAAAAACGAGCACGACGGTGCCCACTTTGCTTGAAAAGCCTCAAGAAGGACACCGCGCGGACAACGCATCACCACACGCGCGGGCGCAGCCTCCAGGGGCTCCTGGGCCTATGGTGCCAGTGAGGAGCGGCATGTCAAGGAATCTGGGGCATACTTACTGGTCCATACAGTGCACACATTGACATCAGTATACTGACTCAAACACTGAAAGGACAACAATTGACAATTGTCTGTGACAGTGAGAATATGTGAGAATGCCTTTATTCAACATCTGAATGCATCTGATGTATCACAACGATTGGCGGCCAATCTTCCAGCGGTCCAAATAAAGTGATGTCAGGTCAATGAGCGGTACAGTCGTTGCTACCTTTGGCAAACACAACATGTCCATTGCAGGTGAAATGGGTGTTTGCTGGTGTTTCTTTACTCTTGGAGGTGACATCAGCTGTTGCCGGGTCTACAAAACCGCTGGACGACGTTTTCCGACTTCACCCCTGAGGTGGGTCCCGACTCCAATTCGCTGACTGTAGCTGATGCGTTCGCGTTCGTGGAAAACAAGGTGAGAACTGTGTCGTTCTCAATCACCCACGCTGGTACACTGGGAGACCTGTAAAGCCATGTACTGCCAAACATGTGGCTACTTCGTGGTCTTTCTTGGGCTAGCTAGGAGGACTGCTAGGAGGCTATAGTTCATTTCCGAGAAACTTACCAAGTAAGTGCGCTGTAGGAATAGCTCACTCCATTAAATGCCCGTTATCGAAGGTACCCCAAGAAATGCACGTTTTGCCTGGAGCCAATGGTAACAAAATCGCATCCCAAGACCTAAGAAGTCTGCCGCATGGGAAATACCGAACGAGTCTACTATTCGGTGATCCAGCCTTTGCATGCCACAGCAAATGGCTAGTGCCTGCCAGATAAATGAGCTCAGCGCACACATGAATATGTTTAAAATGCAGCTAGGAAAACACAACATAATAAGGCTGAAGAGGTAACCTTGCATCTCAATTCGCTTTTGAAGCTTCCAGTCCGTCGATCTCTTGAGCATCTGCCTCGAGTCAAGCGTCGGCATCCGTTCAGCATGTCGCGACCAGCGGATCGGTGTGTTCAGCGAATCAAACTGATGAGTTTCTTGGGGCGAGCTTCGTCGCTTCTTCGACAAGGGTCCAGTCACTGGCTATCGATCTCCCATAGGACCCAGGAGTCCTTTTTCTTGTAAGTGGTGTGACGGACTGAAGGGTTGTATGGGAGCTCATGACATAGACATTTAGAGTAAAACTTCTTCGCTTTCATCTTTCTGAGCTCTTTCAGCAATCCTGGGCAAGTTCCTAGTGTGAACTTGACCTGCACGGCATCGAACTTGCATGGCCAAGGCTTTGACCGGAATGTGAATCTAATTTTTAGTATCGTGTATCCATGCTGCCTAAAGTAAGCATCAGCTGCTCTCTTTGGAGCTTGAGCAAGAGCAAATGATGTGTTGGATTTGACCGTTTAGCTGTGGATGTTGCGAATTTAGAAGCAACACAGTTACTTGCGTGATGAAGCAGGGATGTCCTAAGCTGCCCTTGCCCTGCAAGTCCGCAGTTCGTCATGGGCAACTGATGGCCACTACAACGGAAACTTGGCAGCTACAACACTTGTAGAAAGGCCACAACTTGAATCAGCAACCTCCAAAGGCTATAGCACTGATGGCAATCCCACAAGCTGATTTCTTTTTGACAGCCTTCTCCAGGAAACTAGATCTTCACCAGCCACATGACTTGTCTGCACTTCTGATGGAAGAAATTCAGTACCACCAGCTTCGTGAAAAACACCATGATTCATAGCACAACCTGTTCGCTCCCAACATTCACCCGATCGTTCTTTTTTGAATAAACATCAAGAGAAAAACCGTGCCTTCCGGATCCGTAGCTGTCTTTCTGTCTCCCCATGGTCACCGAAAGGATCGGCCTGGCAGCTCCCGGAGCGCCAGCAGCTCCTTCCGGACGTCCACTCCGCCGACCCAGGGATGTGGGCCACGAGCCTCGGCGGAGCGCCACCCCGACCACAGCGGAGAGTGCAAAGGAACTCAGCGGGTTGGTGGAGGAGGTTGGGCGGAGGTGTTCACCGTGAATATTCATGTTGAGGATCAAACAGTTGTTGAGGTGTTTGGTCAGGGGAGTCTTAGCCATGGATCTGATGTCAGAGTGTATATACTGTCTTGAAATGGTTCAAAGGTCCTCTTGGCATCTCTTGGCTACAACTTTGTGAATCAATTCATTATAGCACTATGTCAAAATGTTCTTCCTGGGTCCTTCTTAGTACTTCAACCTTTAGCGACGTCTCCTCCACTCAAGCAACCAACAGAATCTCTGTGTTCCAGGGTCAAGAGTCAAGAGATGTTACCAACAGCCATCAACGGCCTAACAGGCCAGTCTTCCGAAAGATCTACTCCGTCCCATCGAAGAGCACGACCCGCGACCTTCCAACTCTAGGGACGCCCCACCACATCGGCACGCCCGAAGAAGGCGCTCAGGAAGCGGCGCTCGTGGAGCGGCTTGGACTTCTCCAAGGCCGCAATGACCTGGCCAAATCGGCCGTGAGCGGTCTTTTTGTGCCCAAGGAATCCGCGTGTTGTTTTTATTTAACAAACCCATCCAATCATATGATATTTATACATGATCATATCCAATCCGTTTCAGCTCTAATCTGATCTGTCGAGAAGCACACCGTTGACTCCCTTCTCTCTGCCTCAATCAAGTCCAAGCTCCCTGGAATCACGATGTCCTGCCATCCGTGTTCCATGGGTGTGTCACCCCTATTCCATGCCCTCGAACCGTTCATCATGGTTTCCTCAATATGGTGACCCCCCCCAAAAGCCTTCAACATGATGGACATCACTGTTCTTGCACCTGGACCATCCAAGGGATCACCTCACATCCGAAGGGGTGAACCAGTGATGACCGGAGAATGAATTTTGGCGTTTCCTTGTTTCGTCTGAGCCTCCAGCACTGGAATATCGTGGACGATGTGGATTTGATTACATGCTTGTTCGCCTATCGGCGGCCTATCTGCATCCAAATTGTGGAGAAGGCACAAAAAACACAGAACAGTGTCCATGATATCCGCCAGATTCACGTTTCTCCGAATCGCTTCCACCACAACTTCCTGATGTCGCTCCGACGCATCCGACGCATCCGAGTCAACGAAGCGTCCGTTTGGTCGTCCTTGAAGGGCCGGTAAGGAGGGATGGCGACCCAGGCGAAATCGTTGAAGAGCTCCGTCTCGGGGGTCAGAACGATGGACTGGCGACGTCGTCGAGATGGGTCGAGAGTCATCCAGGGGATGACTGGACCGGAGCTGGGAGTGATTTCGCTTACTTGGGGGGCTATGAGCAAGTAAGACATAGCAAGATATAGGACATCTAATTTTATTGTGAATCTTATTAAGTTGAGAAGGAACCACAGAGTTCTGATGTTGAGTTGCGAGGTTCTCACGATATCATACATGCCCCTGAGAAGCGTAACTACTGCAATCTACCTAAAGTTAAGCGTGCTGCTAATGGTACTAGAGACTCTGTGCATCACTCATCACTGGCACTGTAGATCAGGTGCAGGTCTTCTTGAGAAAGAAGTAGTAATTGAAGTTCGATCCACACACACATAGTCTCTTCAAGTCTCTTCTAAACCACTATCGGCTATCGTTTGCTCAGTGTGTATGTGTGTGTGTGTGTTTGTAGTGGTGCCCTGCCCTTTAATTGATTGGGTTCTCCTGAACTACCTTCACCTTCCCACCCTGCCTGCGGGATGTATTCCTCCCACGATTGGAACACACTCCTCAGATGGACACGCTGGGTGTATCATACAAGGTCCTGAGAGGGTTCAGCTGAGAATGTTTTCTATGCATCACCACACGGGGTGAAGCTGTACAGTTAGCGGCAAAACATGTCGATCCAACCACTCAAAGGCTCCTTTCCCCGGGAAACCCCCGGACGCATCCCACGCTCAGGTGTGTCGTCCCCGTCCAGCCATGAATCCAGCAGATCCGGTTGATCCATGGGGTCTTATTGATCCATCTGAGCACAACCTCTCGCCCCACGCGTTGTCCACGCGTGTTGTCCGAAGCTTCCTGTTTGCAAGTTTGCCAATCCGAGCAGCTGCGCCATGCCAGACCCAAAGACAAAGATATGATCTCGGCCCCCTGCATGTGTTTTGCAGGCTGGAATTGACAGGTATGATGGGTGTGATGGTTGGGTCTACAAGAATCTCATGTGGGATTGTGCCTATGCACATCAAAATGGGGATAGGTGCATGTTCTTCAACACATTCACATGCCGATGACACACCAAACTTTCAACATCGACTATAAATGTTGTCGTGATGTCCCAACGATATCTCCCCTGACACCCTTTGTTAAAGGAACCATTACTACTGGCACTGACAAGAACATGACAAGCCTCGTGAAAGAACTTGCCACCTCCTCCCGCCTGATGCGTTGAAATATGGCAGCGCAGTAACCAGGTCCTGTGAGTGCGGGCTCTCAAATCCTGAGAGCCTGCAGCTGCCATGTTCTCTTCCAATCCTGGGGGTGTGTTAGTGCCTGCAGTCTTTTCTTTGAGTGAATTGTGAAGCTCTTCTTGAGGCGAGTGCCCTTGAGGCGAGTGCCCCAAAACGCGGAAACCAACAAAGAGTTGGTTGCGGAGCAAGCTGTCAAACAGGCTCCGAAGCCAAACAGGCTGCTAGACAAACATGTAATATACTTATATTTGGTACCCCAAAAAAAGACCGACATGTCCTTAAAGTTATTTTGTAATGTCAGTTGGCACAAGCAGAACTCAGGTAATCCTTGTAAAGCTCATCCACCTCATCCAGGGAATAGAGGTTGCCTGGCGTGACATCGGTCGATCCGATCTTGCCAGTTCACCGGTTCAGAAGTCAATTTATTTCTACATCAACACGGGCCCAAGTTGAACGATGAAAATCAATCTGGTATCAAGAAATTGGCCGAAGGTAAGGTGCTGCTGCTCTTAAACCAAACACACGTGTATATAGTATGTATATGAATAATGTAATTGTAATTAGTTGTATATCCATGTATATCATGTCAATTTATAGAATAAATGTATGGTGTTGAGAGCACATTCCAAGCTAAAGCCGTTAATACCAAGCCCCAGGAAACCAAAGCTCGATCAAACAGGTAGACTCCTGCAAGGCGGGTGAAGTCTCCCATGTTCCTGGACCCACGTACCTGCCTTCGAGCACACAAATCGCATAGCCCGGCACGAAAAAGAAGTCAGCCTGAGGAATTGAAAGAGTTGGCCTTGAATACCGATGCCCTCTTGTTCCATTGGGCCCCTGCCTGCAAGGATGACTGGGCACCGTCAAACTGCAAGAGTCTCAACGACTCAACATTGGCGTCTTGGGAAGACGGACACAAGGAGGACACCTTTCTATCTTGAATTTGAACTCACACCACCAGATTCGACTGGACATGACTAGACCTAACTTACAGAAACCACACCACCGCAGCACACTCTCTTAGTTGAAGCCCGGAGTGCATCACATACTCGGCACCTCATCTGGATCATCCGTTTGCAAATCCGAGGCGAAGAAGTAGTCGTGGACTTGAACGTCTGTACCCCACTGGCCTGACGCGCAGTGACAACACAGACATGGGACGGCCACGACCTCCAGGACTAAAGATTCAAAGTGACAAGGACAAATGTACGAGTATGGACGTTTGTACCTTTATTTTGTGTGGCTACTACTCGAGCAAAAGACTGTTCCATGATCTTGACCTGTCACAAGGAAACACCTAGAGGGTGCTGGTATATACCCATAGTCTCTCTGTACATTATATAACTTTCAACATGGTTCATTCACACAAATGACCTAGACATACATAGATCCTGAACGAAAAATGTTGCAAAACTACCGGTCCACTGGTTCGATGTGTACCTCGGCTGCAGTAGATCTGGCTCCGCAGCAACGGCTTCAACTGTGGCACTTCTTCCTGTTACTGTTCGTTGGAAGCGAAGGATAGCAATGGCGAGCGATCTTGCGAACGTGGGGGTATCTCATCTCGGAAAAGTGAAGTCTCCAGCATTCTTCATACACAGGACAAAACGCTCGGACCACCTCGGATTGTTATGAATCTGCATATGATCTTTTGGAGACCCACTTATGTCAAACCATCTTAGGGAAATCTGCCAGAAATGCCTGGCACATCTACGCCAGGCACACATTTAACAAATAGCTGCTATAAAGACTCGTGCACCTCTTTGTCAAAGGGAATAGATGCGTCAATAGCGGGGTCCGGGATCAATCGCAAATCACCAAACCAAATACAATTCTAGTTCTTGACGCAATCCTTAGTGAATGACCAAATTGACTGACATTCTTGGGATGTCAAAACATTTGCCAGCTGCAAACCACAAAGAACAGAACCAAAACACCACTTGACTGGCAGCCAACGCGCCCAAGACTCACCCCCACAACCGAATCGGCTTTCTTGAGCCTCGTCTCAGTGTTCGACAGGCCGCCATAGTTCAACCCACGAAGCCAGGTAGTGAGTGATGGATGCGACAACGCAGTTTTGTGCCAAAATCATTAACTTATTTTGTCCCGACAAATGCCGTTCTCCGTCCAAGCAGATCCTCATCATAGACGTAGACCTTGAACTCTGGGGCATGGGTCGACTTCTTCGCCTCAGGCACATGACATAGGACCATTAGATTGAAACAAGTCACATTTTGGCAACTATCTAATCCCGGTGGCTACTGAGAAGAGGGGTCAAGCACGCTAATTTTATCCTTAAATGGAAAGTGACGGAATCTGGAGGCATGAAAAAAAAGAGGTGAGTTTCAATAAAAGTGAGTTTCAGAAGGTTATCTAAAATGGAACTGGACATCCTTTATTAAAAACAAGTGACGGAAATGTAGTCATGATACATTCATGAACAAATAGTACAAAATTGTTTCTTTCAAGTTTTAGCCTTTGGCTTTCATCCAAGCTCAACAAACAACATAATAATCAGCAGGAATGACACACATCACATCAAAAAGAACAGTAAAAAAATAACACAAGAAGAAGAAGAAGACGCTGCACCGCCTATTGTAGCCATGTTGGCTCTTTTCCAAAAGGTCTGCCATTTTGGATTTCAGACCTTGAATCTGGAGGCATGCCATTTTTTTGTTTTTTTAGGGGGGCAGTGGTCACACCTCTAATTACATCACTCGCAAAAAGTGTTCTGCAATGTCCTGCAAATAGATCCAGCCAATGTGAGCCTCTTTTTATCGCGCAGTTGTTGGGCGAAAGGCAAACACTGTTGTCCTTCGCACAGTTGTTGTTTTGAAAAGCCAAACTCAGGTGCCATTCAGCGTCGATGATGTGAGTGTCTCAACCTTCGATGATGGAGCCCCAAACACCCGATGTGATCGGCCATGGTCTCTTCATGGCTGGAGCGAACGGATGAGCGAAAGGCAGCGTGGATTTCTCTCCACGCTCCCTAGTACCGACGTCCGCGCGAGTCCCGAGGATGCGCCTCCAACTGCCGATAGGCACGGAGGATCCGCTTCCGGAGCACGAAGACCTGGCATGAACGGTCCCGTCGGTGACCTGGGTGCCTTGATGTCACAAGGAGTGACCCTTGTTGCTAGTAGCGTCGTTGTTCCTAGTAGTCAGGCCAGGAGCTACTAGTAGCGTCCTTGCTCCTAGTAGCGATGCCCTTTGTTACTAGTAGCTTGCTTTTAAATTCCTAGGTTCGGTTCATGTATGTGTTCATGCCTAGGTTGCACTGGGTACCAGATTTATTCAACTCTCTGGATCTACATACCACATTGAAGGAGTTTGACAGAAATGGTCTTCGAGCCAAGCGGTCAAAATCCTAACTTCAAGTATTGCTTGGGTGCCACATCTCGCAAATCATGACATGGACATCCGTTCTTGTTGGGGCTAGGCCCCAACAAGGTTGAAACCATAAAGCTTAGCTTAGCGTCATCTTCTACTCATAATCGAGATATATCGAGATATAATAGGAGGCTGTGGGCTCTGTCGTGAGTCTTGGGTGGTTGAATGTGTGATCGTTTTCACTTAGGATTCAGGATAGCACATCATTCAGCCGAAGTCTGCAGCCAACTCAGCCGAAGCCAAAACCCGTCAACATCTTCGCTGTTGCACCTCTTCATCATTGAAAGACCAATTCCCTGCATTGATGAGGCCTCCCAAATGGTGAGACATGCCCAAATGGTACAGGAAAGGCATCGTCCGACCCTTCGAATCGTCCAACCCTGTGGTTTTCGCCGATGCACTTGCCTATGCACTTGCCTTCACTTCGATGTCCAAAAAGCATCTATAGGCAAACCGCATCGTCTGCTGTGAGTCGAAATCTGATTGCTGCAAAAACATATAATAAATATTAAACCAAACTTTGCAAGTGCTGCAAAAAAACAAACAGCTGTTCGGTGGCACCATGCTGTTTAATCGCGAATGGCCAAGGTGCACGCATTCAGTCCGATCCCACCCTTCCTGATCTGCTTGGGCGTAAATAGTCTAGATCACTATAGATGGATATCTCAAAGAAACCATGGGACCTCTTCTGCAACCACTCCTCTGCTTGCTGTCACGAGGGCTTCAGCACAAGACCATGGAAGGATTGGCTCCAGTGAAACATGGCCACGGTGAAACGCGGCCGCATGTCAGGCGATGTCAGGCGCCCACGGCAAACCTCAACGGAGCTCACGGGAGTCGTTCGGAGCAAAAGGCCCTGCTGAGTGGCACAGTGTTTACACTTTCCAAACGGGATGGGTATAGTGCTTCCATGTGTTTACGAAAGAGGTCTGGTCTTGAGGCTGACTTTCTCAATAGGGTTTTGTCTTGGGGCCTCTTTCCAAACGACCGCACGTTTTCCCACTCCTTGGTCACACGTTCAGGGATGTCAAACGAGATGTTCGGAGAATAGATCCGGACTCTTCCTCCTTTATTATTAAGGAACGCATCTCAGTCTTGCCCTCCCAGCTCCCCAGGTCAGCTGGTCCAAAATGGGGCCCCAAACTCTGAGAGGGCAGCCGCACGCAAAGCGCGTAAGGCTTCCTTGACTCCAGGGTCCACCGGCTTCTTGACCTTTGCTGTTCAGATCATAAGGAAACAGACCTTCGGAGAGGTGGGCGTGGCTTGGGAAGACAGAAGACAAGGCGAACTAAATGAATTGTTTGGTTTGTTCAACATACGTACCACGAAAAAAAGAAATACACATCAATCCGGGAGATGAGTCATCGCTTCGTTTTCGGTGATTGACCAGCCCGTCAAACTCCAACAGTGACAAACGAGTGAGCCGCTCCGCTGATGTGGCCACAGAGTCCCGCAAGTGATCGTAACACAAACAGACCAGCAAAGAGATTCCTTTGGAGTGTCTGTAGATGTATGCATTTCCCCACCATCATCTTGGGAATTCTGCAACATACCTGATATCATTTACGCTGTGTGACCCTGCGAATCACACCAAGTTTCCCTGGTGGAGACTCTCCCCATGTTTGCCAAAGACTCATGAGAAAGGACAGCTCAAAACGACAGCTCTGGGTGCGTGACCCGCAAACCAGAATTCGGAACCACCACGAGCCCCAGAAGGTCAAGTTGTGATCACCCAAACGGGTGGCAGTCACCGAGCGAACAACCATCCGGACTTCAAAGTTTCACCAAAGTTGTTTCATGTTTTCCAAGAGGTCTTCTCATCACTCTGGATCTTAGATCTCGAGAAGACCCAATAGAAAAACTCACATCTATTGCAAGGCAAAATTGGCCTCTCGACTTGGCTCACAAGGCCATCAAAACAATTTTTGGAGATATGTCCTGACGAGCCAAAGCCACTGTAGCACCCCCTAGGCAATCTAAAGCATAGGTTGAGCCGGAATTGTAGAGACTCTTGACTCTTGATTGATAAATCCACCAGAGGAAGAGGTTATTGAATTCAAATGGTGTCCCACTTGCCAAGACCGGCTTCACTGAATATGGCCAGCTATACCAATCACCAAAAGTTGTCTTGTCAATGTGTTATCGAATCATCTACTGTAATCCCTATGTCCGACCAAAAAATACGAGAACATCAGGACCCGAAAGGGTAAACGTTCCTTTTCTATCCATTTGGGAGTTCCAACACGGGGGTGGGAGCTGCGTATGAAAAAGGTTTTTAATTTTTGAATATTTAAAACAGTTGCACGATCTATAGATGTATAGAATATAGTCGAGTGTGAATTGAAATAGAGAGATCCTTCAGTTCAATCCCACAGGCAATAAGAAACTAGTACTGTAGCATACTGTAACTAGGCTTTTCAACCTATTGGTTGAGGGCGCCCCTATCTAAATACACACACAGGGCCTGCAGATCCGTGACTGGTTTCTCACAATCTGGCCCAGTGCACTTGCTGCGTGCGCAGGCATGTTTTTCACTGAATTCGTTTCTTGGGCCCGAGACTGAGATGCTGGCGATGATGCGTGTGTGTGAACCCCTTGGAGTCACAGGGAATCCTTTGATTTTGTGTTTTGTTTTTGTCTTGAAGCCTTTCATGTAGCAGGGGGCAGTGGACCACTATCACTCACTCACTGCCCAACGAAGACAGTGATAGTTTGGTCGTGATATCCAGAATGGACGCTTTCTGGACGTACCTGCTTGGTTGTGGTGTTCACAAGCTGTTGAGCGCTCGTCGTCACCTTGTCGCTCGCTTGCTCGATGACTTCTTTTGGATTCGCTGTTCAAGATGATGAATTTGGTTGGCCTCCACTCCATTTCAGGTTCTTTTACCTGTACTCTTAGGAATATGGTTGCTTAGGTTGCTGGGTGGCGAGTGGCATTCACTTTCCGTACGCATTATCTTGAGTGTGTAAGTGATGGCTCTTTGGGGTTGGCTATTGTGTTGGATGTTGTTTTTGGAGTTCTTTGGTTCTCTCTGTTGGTTCCAGTGAGAGTCTCATTCACATTCCTTCAAAAAGGCCGTTTCAGTAGGTGCTGACCGCATCGCAAAGGCAGCAGCTCAGGTGCAAGGCCAACATGTCCATAATGAGTCCACAATGAATTCGTATGATGGGCTTCCATACCCTACAAATCCGTGACCCAACCGACCCCAAACGAAACAAGCCACGCGTGACGATCCGCGCCAAGCCGCGCGAAGATCCGGGAGGCCCACGCCACCCACCTGTGCGTGGAACGGATCGGTTGTACGGTGCATGCACCGTGCACCACCGGCAAGTGAGGATCACATCCCAAGAACCGAGAAAGCACAAATTATGAGTAACAAGTGCCTTACTAGTAGTAACAAGAAGCTATTAGAATTAAATCGAAGAATCTGTTGCTAGATGCTGCAGGGAAGTCATATATAAAATACATGTAGCCATGCAGCATCAGCAGTCTAATACAGCTGTGTGGCATCAACTCTTGAACACGCTGTGTTTCTGCTCTGGTTGCAACATACCATGAAGAACGGACAAAAACTTGGCCAAGGGCGGAACCATCCTTGCCCTGTGACCATGTCCCCTTTTCTCAGCAACCCGCCCTAAGCACTCAAAGAATAGAAGAAAAGTATCAGACTACCACGTAAGATCACTTGGGTCATACCACCTCTGTCAACTTCCGTGAGATGGGATCACCTGGGTCACACACACACAACTTCGCCGTGTTGGGGTTCCCGGCCGGTGTTGCCAATGGAGAGTCCAAATGAGCTGGCGCAAAAAGGTGCGAGCTTCGGAATTTTGCCACAGATCTTAGGCTGGTAGAAGAGGTATTTCTACACAAACTCACCAATAGATGAATGTATATACATAATACAATACATTTAGTGGTGTGTATATTATGTGATGCTGCCTCCTCTCTGAGAACTGACCTCTTCGCTTCTTGGGTTGTGTGAATCTACCAACGACTACAGTATGGTTATGGACCCGCCATAACCGGTGGGGTCCAAAACCCTTGGGATGAACATAGGCGAAGTTGAGAGAGACGGCCCGAATACGAAGGGAAAGGTGGAAAGACAGTCTTTTTCTAATTTTAAGGCAAGGCCTTTCATCAGGGCTCCCCTTCCATTAAATATACTTGAAAAGGCCTCTACCAAGACATGTTGGATAGTCAAGGGCCAAATTCTATGATTTCCAGGGCAAAGCTGGCGAATCGATTCAGTGGTGGAACCGCTCGGGCCAACAATGAAGAAGGGGATCATTAGAGCATACCAAAAGCGTTTGTCAAAGCAATGCTATTGGCAGGGCACTGCATTCAAATTGAAATGTATTTGTACCGGGCTTGTACGGTCATCCAGCTATTCATGGGAAGTGCCTTTGGTGGCCTGCGTCGGACGGTCGATACCAAGACGGAAGACTGGGGGCAGTTGATACAGGACACGGGTTCAATGATGTCCTTGTTGGAAGAACAGAATAGAAGAGGGGTCAGGTAGGTTTCATATACCAATTGGTTGTACACTTGGGGTATTAATCAAGCAACCAATAGTAAAAGGCATATGACCGGGTTTGTGTGTGTCAGGGGTGTGGCCAAACTTCTCATCAGTATGTGTCTCCTTGCACAACTACTGGCAGCCACGGAAAATGTTAGCTGGTTGAGTTCGGAACAATTGACATCTGCACCCCACCGTCCACTGTCTCTCAAGTGCATCTGGAGTACTGATGGTGCCCTGGGTTGCCAAAAAGGCCTGCAAGAACGAAAGTCAAGGATGGTAAATGAAATGCTCTACATCAAATCGTGAGATGACTATTGTGAGCAAAAGACTTCACATGCTCGATCTCTCTTGAACTGGTGCGTGTTGCCAAAGCTGACACTTGAGAGGCACACGACCTAATTATATACACAAGATTAAGAAAAGAACACTTCCAAGATTGGACCTAACAATCAAATCATTTAATTTCCACGCCGGGCCGTTGGGATTGGTGAAGGCTGCCTTCCCACGTCCAGAAGAAACTTATACTATAAAGTAGTTACATTCCTGCCATCAGCACAGCACCTGCCTGAAACAACCTACAGTACCATGAAAAAAGTCTCCTCTTGCCACTAAACAACTCCTGGCTGAAACTTCGACGTGGATCGATTTGACGACGTAAACTTGAAGCAAACAACAACACACATATACACAGATGTCACATACACAAATCAAACACACACACACACAAGATGTTTCCCCACAAAACCGCCCATCTCCGGATTTGAGGAGATGCATTCTTGTCCACTCGT